ACCTCAATTCTCCTTACCCTCCATTTTCCCCTCTTTTGATTGCCAGGTATCGATCGCGGGAGACGTCATCCCTCTGATTTGTTTCAACCCTACACAATCTATGGACCTTCCCCTCCTCGTTCTCCTTCTCGACGTGCCTCTCTGCCTCCGTCTTTCCCCTTTCTCCCTCCTTTCCCTTTGTCTCCCCCTCTCCTCTGTCCCTGTCTGCATCTCTCCCGCTTTCGTAACATCCTTCTCCTCTCTCGCTCCTTCCTCTTTGCCACTCTTCGTCTCCCTCCTCCTTTCCTGCTCTCCTTCCACCCTCCCCCTCTCGCATCGACCGCCTCCTTAGGTATACTTTCTCTCCAGTCACGCGAGAGAGCGCCCGGGAACGCAATCTCTTGTAGACACATTTGCAAGGCGTTCCGTCCCTTCCGTCTCCTTCCGTCCCCGCCCGCCCTCGCCCCCGTGCCTGCGCCGTACCCTCGTGCCCTGGATAAGAGCAATTATATCCCCGGCAACATTTGCAGCGATGCGATGCAGGATCGATTATTTCATCCTCTCGCTGCACAATGGGCTCTCTTCCCTCCAGGCTTGTCGTCCGCATCTTGGGGGTTTCCGCTATTCACGCTCATCACCCTTGAGCACATGGGCCCCTCCGACTCCCTCCGCCCCCCCTTCGCCTCCCTCCAATCCTTCCACTTCCCTCCATCCCCCTTCGGCCCTTTAAATGATCTGCGTCACAGCCGCTCTTGCTGCATAATACCTCCTCACGTCGTAGCGGGGGAGAGGGGGGAGGCATTTACCAACACCGTCGCCAGCGCCGCCGCCGCTGCCGAGGAACAGCCTCCGCGCCAAGGCAAACAGGAGGCGTGCGGCCCCACGTCGTCAGCGCCACCACGCGCACTAACGGCTCCGGGAACAAAGGGACGCGCAGCAATCAAAGGCAATTCACTTGGAGTAAGCGGCTTACTCAAAGCAATAGCCGCGGAGGAGGCGCCGTCAGGAGGCGGCAAAGAGCGTCCCTTCCACTCGGCCACACCTTCCCCCGTAAGCCTCCGCCGCCGCGCCCGCATGAAAGCTCCTCTCTCATTCCCCGCTCAAAGGGATACAAGCCGCAAAGGCGAGGCGGCCCGGCCTTTCTGGACCATCCAAAGGCAAGGCTTCTGACGGGGCTCAAAACACGCCAAACTGTATACCAGTACTGTGCATTCGGGGAAAAACGGTCACTCGAGAAAAAAGTTGCGAAAATGATTTATGGTGTACACTAGACTAAGGTAAACACAACACGAACCCCCATCCAAACAACACGCGATCAGTATAACTCTAGCAGTAATTATAAACATTCCGCACGCCTTTCTCTTTTTCCCTGTCTCTCTTTCCTTCCTTTCTCTCTACATCTCTCTCTACCTCTTTCTACTTCTATATGTTCCCTCTCCAAGGATTGAATCCATAGACTTCGCCTAACAAATGCCGCCGGCCGTGCGCCCCGACGCAGCTGGAGCGACATGTCTCTCTGCCAGGCCGACCGTGATAGACATCCTGCGCCAAACTCTGCGATACACGGCCTCAGCTATTACAAGGAAATCTTCGAAGATATACATTTTAGTTCACAGGAGCTCTCGGAAATAGCATCAAGCGTGCGAAATAGCTTCACCGCTGACGCTGCACGTGAGCCCATTATCAACTGACAGAAACACTGGGGCTAGCATTTCGCTTCCGGTGACAGCCAAGCATAAAAAAACGCTTCTATCAGTCTTTATGCCTAAAGTGTTTGGAAATGCAACAAAATGATAAAATGCCTGTAATATAGAAACGAAAAACCACAGATAAGATATAATCAGCAGCAATCTAACCAATGACGAAGGGAAAGGGAAAAAAGACCGAAATAACCCCGAAACGTACCCTGGCAAGGACGAGAAGTTGAAGAGACCCCCTGACCCCCCCCCCCTCTCTCCGCAGGATTTCAGAGAGGACACAACCCCGGACGCTGCCAGATTACAAGTCCTCTCCTGTCTTCCTTAAGGATTACCCCCGGGGCGTAGCAGGGGCATCAGGCAGATCCTGCATCACAGCCACAGTGGCACACTTTGGTTCCCGGCGTTCCATGCAGTAATGCCTTCCTAATGCCTCAGCACGAAAAAAAAACAAGAAAAAAAACGCTACGGAACACTAAATCTATTAATTTCGCCTTCCATGATGCTGACCGAGAAACAAATAAAATACACACTGATGAAACTAGCGTAAAAAAAAGTCACACTGAATACTCTTTGGACAGGAAAACTAAACACCAGACGAGCCCGACCCCTGGACCAAGCGACCCGCAGCAGGTTGTCTCAGCACTCCCGTTAAGCACTCCCGCGTGAAAAGACAAGATCAGGTGTATTCTTCGCCAAGTTCCCCGGCCAGAGAGTACCGCGAAAAACTTGGGCTGTATCTTTTTTCGCGTCGTCTTGTCCTGGAAAGCGGCATTTCCTGCTGTGTGTATTTCTGGCCTGCTGCTACGTTTTCTATTTCTTTTCTTATTTCTTCTTTCTTTCTTTCCTTTTTCCCTCGCATAAATCTCGTTTCTCTCCTATATTTACCTCTGTTCCTTCCCTTTCTTTTCAACTCGTGTTTTACTCTTCAATATAACTCTCCTCTCTTCCTGCACTTCCTCCTCCCCCTCTTTCCCTTCCCTCCTTCACCATCCCCGTTCCCTCGCCTTAACTGCCGTCGTGTGTCCCTCCCTCACAGTGCCTCGGCCTCAGAGTGCCTCCGAGTGCCACCCTTGACGTCCGCAGTGAATGGGCGGCGATGCATAATGCGCGCGTTCCCGACCCAGCAAACCCCACCGAAGCTTCTCGAGGGACGAGCCGGTGACCTGTAATTAAGTTACTCCGCGTGCTCAAAAAGAAAAAAGAAAAAAAAAACGAACAAAAAACATACAAAAAACATCGAGACGCATTTAAAGGTTTCAAATGGGAAAGCGGAAATGCTTTTTGTTTATAAATCAACCGGAAATAACCTGCTTTTCTAACTTGCGCTGGGGGCCTTCGAGTCTTCCAAGAAAAGGGATTAATGCATATGAAATTAGGCGCAGGAATAAATTCACCTCCGCATTCTTGAACAAACTGCCTGGGTTTCATTCGCGAGCCGCGTTGAGGCGCACACAAAGGCCGAGGCTGGTCTGCCGCGGGGGAGGCGTCCCAAGCCAGCCGACAAGGAAGGGGATAGATAGATGGACAGATAGACAGACAGACTATCACTGTAGATAAAGATTTATCTAGGTGAGACTGTATGAGTGAGTGTGTGTGTGCGTGTGCGTGTGCGTGTGCGTGTGCGTGTGCGTGTGCGTGTGCGTGTGCGTGTGCGTGTGCGTGTGTGTGTAGGCTACATGAATAAATAATACAGTATACAGACATAAATGGATAGGTGGAGAGAGAGAGAGAGAGAGAGAGAGAGAGAGAGAGAGAGAGAGAGAGAGAGAGAGAGAGAGAGAGAGAGAGAGAGAGAGAGAGAGAGAGAGAGAGAGAGAGAGAGAGACAGACTTTAAAAGTAAAAAATCGGGTCCCCGCTTCTTCCCAGAGTGCCACAATTCACCTTCAAGTCGGACATGTCTGCTTGTGAGGCTCACCTTCTGCTACAAATAACATCAGGTAGCGGGGGCCTGCGCTCGGTCGTCTAGGTCGGGAGTCCCGCCGCCGGAGCCGCCGCCGCCGCCGAATCTGTGACGTCTCAAGCGAGCGGCCTGAAGCAGCGCGGGTCATGCCGTCATCAATAGAAACGAGCGAGAAGTCTAAACACGAGAGACCTTTCCTTATTTTCGCTGGAATCCTACACCCGACACTCACGCATCCCAACTGGGACGCCACAGCCATAAATCCTCCTCTCTCGCGGCATGCTTACCTATTCAGCAAAATAGTTTTAGGTGAACGGGATCATGCACGAGACGCGGGACCAACAACCTGACCACCTTCCACCTCCCCCCAAACTTCCAAAACTTCACGAGCGACATGTAAGGTTCGCGTGAAGTTTCCCCTCGCGCGGCGCGGATCGCTTCCGTCCCGAGACAGACATGGCGTCCGGCAGGAGTTGGTGCATCAAAATGAACTCTTTTATGCTGGCATTTCGTTTCTCCTGCGATCGCAATTTCCGCACGCCGCCCCTCTGCTGTGCCATCAGGCGCCAGTCCTACCTTTGCGTGTGGAAGGAAAACACGCAAATGAATGAACAAACAATTACCCCTTTCCCTTTCCCTTCTGGCTCCTTTCGCGGCTTTTGTTCCGGCCGAAGTAATCGCAAGCGCAAAGTCTGATTTGAAGAATTAAGTGTGTGTGTGTGTGTGTGTGTGTGTGTGTGTGTGTGTGTGTGTGTGTGTGTGTGTGTGTGTGTGTGTGTGTGTGTGTGTGTGTGTGTGTGTGTCTGTGTGTGCGCGTGTGTGCGTGCGTGTGCGTGAATGTGAAAGTACAAGAGTGTGGGAATGTGTGGGTGGTGGAGTATGTGTGTGGGAATGTGTAGGTGAGTCTGCGTGGATGTAGAAGTGTGTATACGTGTGTGTATATGTATCTTCCCCATTTTTATGGTGAAAGCAGAACACTCGTCCCTCGTCCGCTTCAACAGAGTTTTGTAATATTCTGGACGCCTCTTCTCTGCTTCTAAAAGACGGCACTGAAAGACCTCGGCTTAGGGGACAAAAAAAAGACCTACAAGGTCGACCCACAGCACAGACAATATAAAACCTTTTGTGTTCACTAAGGGAAAAAATAAATACAAATAAAGACTATATAGACCAGCAACCACACTTTCCACCCGGCTGTTTTCACCTAGCTCCGTCGTCAAAATGTTGGACTGGATTCAACCCTGTGTTCTTGCTTAAGCGTGCACTTATGCATAATCAGTCTTTGTCTCCGTATTCATAACTATGTCTGTGTCTGTCAGTTCACCTTCCTTGTCCTCGCAAAAAAACAAACAAACAAAAAAAACAAGAGCTAAAACGAAAACAACATTTAAAACCCAAAACAGAGAGAGCGCCAACTTACCCTGAAGCCTTTATACCATTCTTTAATCATCTGCTCGTCGTATCTGGTGTGTGTCTTGAGGAATTCGAGGTCCTCCTTAGAAAGCTTCTCCTTGCTGCCAAAGCAACCCATCCTGCAAGAAAGAAGAGGACTCATTAATCGGGGCTGGATTAATCCCAGATTACGAGTGAAGCAATGAAACCATTTTCTCCCGGATCGATTTAGTTCAGTGTGCACGTGTGGAGAAGGCATATGGAAGGCAACATAAGGCCTTCTTGAATGGCTCCTGCGTCTCCGTGCCAGAATGCAATACAAGATTTCAATTACAAAACAAACAAATGGAAAAGGCCGAGCACTGTAATATTCAGGTGTGAGGCGGTCGATACGGTCCTCCCACGCGGTTCGCGGGGCAATGCCTTTGCAAGACACTGCACAGGGCAGCTTCGCCTCCTCCCCTCCCCTCCTCCTCTTCTCCTATCCCCCCCCCCCACTCTCTCTCTCTCTCTCTCTCTCTCTCTCTCTCTCTCTCTCTCTCTCTCTCTCTCTCTCTCTCTCTCTCTCTCTTCTCTCTCTCTCTCTCTCTCTCTCTCTCTCCTCTCTCTCTCTCTCTCTCTCTCTCTCTCATCTCTCTCTCTCTCTCTCTCATCTCTCTCTCCCTCTCTCTCTCTCTCTTTCTCTCTTTCTCTCTTTCCCTCCCTCCTTCCTTCCCTCCTTCCTTCCCTCCTTCCTTCCCTCCTTCCTTCCCTCCCTCCCTCCCTCCCTCCTTCCTTCCTTCCTTCCCTCCCTCCTTCCTTCCCTCCCTTCTTCCTTCCTTCCCTCCCTCCCTCCCTCCCTCCCTCCTCCCTCCCTCCCTCCCTCCCTCCCTCCCTCCCTCCCTCCCTCCCTCCCTCCCTCCCTCCCTCCCTCTAGCCTTCTAGCAATGAAAAAGAAATTTGTCTGTCTATTTCTTTAGTGTATTTATCTATACATCTATCCATTTATCTATTCATCTATCGATCGATCTATCTATCTGTGCCTGTATCCGCCTCGTATCTACCTCAACATCTACCTCTCGGTATCTCTCTATACACATCCTCATCCCTCATTCTCTCAATTCTGTTCTGTTCGTGGACCTGATTATCTCTCCACTTATGAGACTAGAACGATGCAATTCCTGCCGATGGAATTAAAAGAGAGACATCGGCAACCAACTACCCTCGGGACAACGAAAGTCCAGTTACTATAATCAATCCAATACTAACGTGGTCATGGATGTATAAATAGATAGACAGACAGACAGACAAACCGAAAGACAGACAGATGGAATGTGTGAGTGAATATAAGTTTTTGCGCGAGTACGGGGGTATGCAGGCCTATGCGTATTTGCGCGTAGCCACCATATGAACCAGAGAGTGACTCCCCCACCCACCCACCCCCCTCCCCCCAGCGTACTCCGGCGGGGATTCCTGTTCCGCGGAGTTGCGCGCCGTCCAGCCTCCTACTCCTCCTCCTGCTCCTCCTCCGCCGCCATAAATCTGGTCGGCCCGTTATCGCCCCGGGCTCACGCGACGCTGCCGGGGACCGCGCCATTCTCGGGCACCGTTTGGAACTTCGTTATCATAATGGGAATCAGTTACGTAAATTAACATAAATCATCATTCCGACCCAATTTAAATTACGCCTTCCTATGAAGGAGGAAATAATTACGGACCCCAGCGTCGGCCTCCCAGAGACAGGCTTGCGAGAATTATTTGGTACTAAGGGATGCCGAAGTAATTTTCAGAAACGCACACTAAATAATTACTATGGTATTACTAGTAGTTAAATAATAATAATAATAATGATAATAATAATAATAATAATAATAATAATAATAATAATAATAATAATAATAACAATAATAATAATAATAATAATCATAATCATAACAATAATAATAATAATAATAATAACAACATAATAACAATAATAATAATAATAATAATAACAATAATAATAATAATAATAATAATAATAACTACATCTAACAACAAAAACAACATTAACAACAATAATGACTATAAATATAATCATAATAATGATAACGATTACAACAAGGGATGATGATGATGATGGTGATAAAAGCAAGATTATCATTTATAAAAAATAAAAATAATAACAAAGACACTAATAACAATAAAAATCACAATGACAACGATAATGACAATAATAGTAATAGTGAGTAGTGATCGTGATGATGATGATGATGATGATGATGATGATGATGATGATGATGATGATGGTGATAACAAGGATAAAGATAACAACAAGAATAATAACAACAACAACAAAAACAACAATAACGATAATGATAAAGAAGATGTTGATAACAAGAACAATAACAATAACAATAATGATAATAATAATGATGATAATAATCTTATCAATAATAACAACAACCTCTTCAACGAATAACTGCAATAAGACTTACTAATATTACTAATAATGCAGCATAATTGTAAAAAGTAATTACAACGTCTACTACTTCACTACCATCACTGTTCCTAATAACATTTTCAATGATGATAATAACACTAACAATGTCAATAATAATAGAACAACAACATTATTGCAACATGACAATTCGCGGCCGACCAGGGCAAGATCCCGGCGGCCGAGGACTCCACAATGGATCACGTTCCTGCCCTCCTGACGAGCAGCAATCGATGAGCCCTTCAGCGGAACGGGCCGAGGAGGAGGGCGGCGTCGCCTGGGAGAGAGGGCCCGGCACGTGCGTCGCCACTATGCTACGGCCGTGCCCCTCGTCCGCCCTCGTCCGCCTTCGTCCGCCCTCGTCCGCCCTCGTCCGCCCTCGTCCGCCCTCGACGAGCCGCCACCCGCGAGGAGCCAAGGTACACTGCGCATGCCTATGACCCCTTCGCGTGACCGGTAAGTAACTAGCTCGCCTTCAGAGCCGCCTCGCCATGATCTCTTTCCCCATAACGTTATAATATACACTTCTTCCCTTGTCCTTGCCCCTCCTCCTTCAACCAATCCTCCCTCCCACCTTCCCCGCCTTTCTCCCCCAATCAATCCTCTCTCCCTCCCTTCCCGCTGCCTTCTCTCTTTCCTCTCCTCCCCTTCCCTTCTCCCTCTCCTTTTCTTCCCTTTCCTTCTCCCTTTCCTTTCCTTTCCCTCCCTCCTTCCTTTTCTCTCCTCGCCCTCACTTCTCCCTTTCCTCACCTTGCCCTCCCTTCTCCCTTTCCTCTCCTCGCCTTCCCTTCTCCCTTTCCTCTCCTCGCCTTCCCTTCTCCCTTCCTCTCCTCCTCCCTTTTCTTCTCCTCTCCTCTCCCTTCTCCATTTGCTTTCCTTCCCCTCCCTTCTCCCTTTTCTTCCCCTTCCCTTCTCTCTCTCCCCTCCCTTCTCCCTTTCCTCTTCTCCCCCTCCCTTCTCCCTTTCCTCTTCTCCCCCTCCCTTCTTCCTTTTCCGTCTCCTTCCCCACCTTCCCCTCCCCTCCTCCCACCCTAAGTGCATACAAACATGTCTAGTTGACGCGAAACGGATAAAACAAGGGGATCGAGAAGAGGGGAAGAGATCCACAGGAAGGTACCTCCTACCCCTTTGGCCTTCCCCCTTCCCCTCCCCCCCATTCCCTTCCCTTCCCTTCCCCTCCCCCCTCCCCCCCTCCTCTTACCCCCCCCCCCCCTCTTCCTTTCACGTGCGACGACCCAGCGAACAAGGAACCTGATCCTGATCCGGCAACATCACGCGACGAATGCAAGCCTAATTATCGCCTGAAGAACGAGACACGACTACCGGCTGCAAGAAGTTGGGGGGGGGGGGGCGTAGAGGAGGAGGAGGAGGAGGAGGAGCAGAAGGAGGAGGAGCAGGAGGAGGAGGAGGAGGAGGAGGAGGAGAAGGAGGAGGAGCAGAAGGAGGAGGAGGAGGAGGAGGAGGAGGAGGAGGAGGAGGAGAGGAGGAGGAGGAGGGAGGAGGAGGAGGTGGGGGAGAGGAGCAGGAGGAGGAGGAGGAGCAGCAGGAGGAGGAGGAGGAGCAGAAGGAGGAGGTGAAGCAGGAGGAGGAGGAGCAGGAGGAGGAGGAGGAGGAGCAGGAGGAGGAGGAGGAGGAGGAGAAGGAGGAGAAGGAGGTGAGGGGAGGAGGAGGAGGAGGAGGAGGAGGAGGAGGAGGAGGAGGAGGAGGAGGAGGAGGAGGAGGAGGAGGAGGAGCAGCAGGAGGAGGAGGAGCAGAAGGAGGAGGAGGAAGAGGAGGAGGAGGAGGAGGAGGAGGAGGAGGAGGAGGAGGAGGAGGAGGAGGAGGAGGAGGAGGAGGAAGAAGAAGAGGAAGAAGAAGGAAGAGGAGGACAAAGAGGAGAAAAATGAGGAAGGAGGAGTAGTAGTTGGGAGTTGCCAGTGGAGGAAGAGGAGAAATAAAACTAGGAGAGAACAAAAAAATGAAGAGGGGGATAAAGGATGACCACCAGACATTCACAGAAAGAGGAAGAAAGCCAGAAAACGCAAACAAACCCTCTAATTCACAGAAGCCACTCATCACCACGGCAGACGGCGCGTGCAAGCTGGTGTTGGTTTTTGCACTGCGATCGACACATCAGCGCGAGTGGAATTTCAGCCGTCTCTCGAACCTTGTTTATTGGGCATATTCTACCACTGTCACGCTCGCGCCCGATGGCGACGACAAGAGATAGGCAAGCGGGGCGTGGTCGTGGACGAGGAGGGAGGGAGGGAGGGAAGGGTGGGGAGGAAGGAAGAAAGGGAAGAAGGAAGGGAGGGAAGGAAGATTGGGGAGGAAGGGAAGAAGAAGGGAGGGAGGGAGGGAAGGTTGGGGAGGAAGGAAAGGCTGGGGAGGAAGGAAAGACGGGAGGTAGGGAAGGGAGGAAGGAAGGGAAGGGAAAGGGATGGAGGAACGGAGGGATGAAAGTAGAGAAGGAGGCTGGAGGGAGGGAAGAAGAAGATAAGGGTGGGGGTAGCCAGGGGAATCGAGGGATAAGGCAGAGTGGAGAAAGGAGGAAGAGAGGCGAGAAGAGAGAACAGAATGAAGAGAGGAGAGGACAGGAGAGGACAGGAGAGGAGAGAAGAGGGAAGAGATGAAGAGGCAGAGGCTGACAGAGAGAGAGAGAGAGAGAGAGAGAGAGAGAGAGAGAGAGAGAGAGAGAGAGAG